ATATGGACCATGGAGCTCTCCAGAGACCTCCTGGTTCCCGGATGAGGATGAGACATATGTTTGCTGCGTGTCTTCTGAGTCTCCAGACTGGAGGAGAGAGAAGAGGCCTAAGGGGAGAAAAGAGATGAGAATCTGAGGGAAACCAGCAGTGGAAGCAACTGAAAGAGCTCCAGTGAGCAGGCTTTTGAGAAGGGGCGGGGGTAGCCTGTGGAACAGGGAAGTGGGAAGTCCCAGGGTGCAGTCCTGCGGTGGCCTCCTTACCAGAAGCATCTGCAGGTGCATTGACACCCTCTGCAAGGGGGAGGGGATAGGGCTTGGGGAATGGAGGATGGGTCTCACAAAGGCTGTTCTCTGGGAAAGGATCTAAGAGAGCTGACCCCCCACCTTCACTAATGGTTGAATTGCCCCCAGCTCCCTGACCAATTTTGATAACATTCATGTGGTGGTTCCCAGGCCTCCCTATCCCATGGGAGGTTTTGAGTGGGCAAATTTCAACACCTAGGCTAGGCTTAGCCAGCTGACACCTGCAGCCCCTTGGAGAAACTGTCAGCCACAGAGTGGAGCAGATAGAACCCATCCCCACCTCAACCCTATTCCCTTCAAAGGGCTTTAGCTTTGCCCTGGGGGAGCCAGAGTGAGGAAACCTAGGTTGCTTGTTCATGTTCTCCATTGAGAGGTAATAGCAGAGGCTCAAGCCTGAACCCTAAGGCTTCTATCTGATAAGAAAGTTGGGGCAGAGAAATTCTGGGCCTGTGTAGGCTCCTGCTCTGCCCCTTCAAACTGAGAACTAGTTCAAGGTAGGGGAAATACTGACGAATGTAACCACAGGTCTGAATGAGCATGGTATTATGGCCTTTTGCCTGAAACACTTGACTTGACAAGAGCCTGGCCCTCATTTGGCCTCCAGAACTTCCAGACAAGAGATCCATGATAGGAGTGAGAGATTGCTCCTCCCCTTGTTTTGGGGAGGAGTGTCTCTTTCAGACACCGTTCCCTTTTATAATAGAGAACCTGCAAGATGGTCTCCAGTGATTCCTGCTGTGTTCAGTTCACACCCCACATTGTGCCAGGGTTGGTCTGTGTGACCAGTAGAATAGGGCAGAAGTTATGGTGTGCCATTTCTGAGACGAGGTTCTGAAAGCTTGGTGGCTTTCTCTTGGCCAATCTCTTCCTCTGGGAGAAGCCATTTGCCATGTTCTTAGCAGCCCTATGAAGAGACCCTTATGAGGAAAAACTAAGGCCTCTGACCAACAGGCATGTGAATGAGCTTCCTGGAAGTGGATTCTCCAGCCTCAACTAAGCCTTCAGATGACTGTAGCGTCAGCCTACATCTTATAAGACCCTGAGCCAGAACTACCCAACTAAAATACTCCTGGATTCCTGACCTTCAGAATCCATATGCGGTAACACATGTTTGTTATTTTAAGCTACTACATTTGGGGGTAATGTGTTACACAGCAATAAGTAACTAACACCTACATCCCTTCTTAACCTACAGAAGCAACCTAACTCCCTTCCTCCTTGATGCTCCTTCCCCTTCAAGACCCCATCCTAGAACACTGATACGCAGATAAACTTGAAGGTACAGAATGAATCCACCTAACTCCCTGAGCGATCTGGAGGTCATCCTTCTGGATTAAAAATGGTGCTTTGCATAGCCACAGAAGACTAGAGTGGAGAGTGAAGCGTCCAGCTGATAAGAAGAGAGGGCATATGCATAAGAGCCCCCACACTTGCAGATAATACCCACTTATCCTGGCTTCA